CACTGGCAGTAATTTATATTGGCTTTTGTCAGGCTATTCTGTCTTACTTTGGTGCTACAGACACAATAAAGACATTTTTGCTAACAACAGCCTGAGAGTGTTTGGTCACTGAACATTGGATTATTTGGTTGACCATATCTGCAATGCCCCTGAAGAGGAAGGATATGGATACATTGTAACAGCTGCCCTATTTAGAGGCAATCCTAGTTCTTTAACATGCCCTGAGTGTATAGCAATGGGACCTTCAAGGTCTCAAGTGAAAGAATATTAGTATTGTTAGCAGTGGAGCAGGTTTATAGAACCTACCACCCTTGAATTATTAGTCCAGCTTGTTACTGCTGGGCCACAGATCTGCTCTGTTTGACAAGCTGGTGGTGGCAGTTTTACTTTCCAGTTCATAACTAAGCAACTTTGAATTCACCAGAGCTCAGTTCAGCCAAAGTTAAATTTTATTTCATTATTCCTTGGCAGGTTGTTAAGCAGTTTACCAGAATAGATGCCTTTACTTTTGCATGGAACTGCTATTACTTCTGTACATGCCAGATGATCAATCTCAACCAATGTGCAAAGGGAAATTGAATCTGCTGGACCAAAAAGAAAGCTCTTATATCCTGAGTATCTTAGCAAAATGACATCTTTTCCAATCCTTATACAGCTTAAACCAATCAATATATACAAAACAAAAGTAAAACACCAGAGGATAATGAACTTATTGAATATAAAATATAAGACCCCAACCATTAAATAAAATATATAGCTGTTTGATAGCATCATCTCTAATATTAATGACATTAAACAAGATGATAATTCTTTAAATAATTGTAATTGGCAATAAATAAAGAGTAAAAAGCTAAAAATATGAAAAAAGATTGTGCTACAGTTCACAATAATCTTCAGACTTATTGATAAATCCATGGCATCACTTGTGCAAAACTGACTCGTCATTATGATCGAATTTCATAAAGAAAAATACTTGAGAGCACTATCCTGTATCCTTAAAAACACTGTTTAATACATCAATATTTCATTATCAAACTCATCAGAAACCTTATCAGTCTGTAAGATTACAGATCACATCTCGCCAGCGGACAAAAAACAACCCCATGAAAACATCAACGATGATGCAATTCCTTCTCCAGGTTTATACATCAACAAAGGTGCGATTTTATGATTATGTTTTTCAATCTTAAGATAACATTTACAAACACGTTTTGTAAAATGCAGAGGTGGAAGATAATCGTTTCTTGATTGAAAATTCACTATCACAAACAAACCAGACTTCTGTAAAGTGCATCAAAAAAAAAACTTACGCTATCATTGGATCTGGCGTTTGGTTGGCAAAAGACTTATTCTCATTTACCACAGTTCTGTAGAGATTAAAAGATCAACTAGAAACATAAAATAGTAAAAAACAACATTTTTTGTAGGAAGAAAATAATTTCAATGTCAAACTTCCTAAAAAGTAAACATTTCAACAAAAGTCAGGAAGTTTTAGAAAAAGAAGTTGTCATACTTGACCAAAGCACTAGTAAAAGTGCAGTATCATCTGCAGGATTGCGCACACAATAAAAGGATTTATCACGAATCAGTACTTAAGCATTAATATCGTTTGACTTTTTTAATATTTATACAAAGAACAGGATTTATTATGAAAAGGTACAAACGATAATGTCCATTAAAATTTTCATCCAAAATTGAAATACCAACAATCAATCATCAGATTCAGGAAAGAAAATAAAAGTTTAGACTTTCATGGAGATATTAATTTAAAAAAAAGTACAAATAAGATACAACTGAAAACACAATCTTCCGAGAAACAAACTAATATTTCATGTCATTACTCAGTTGTGTAGGAGGACTAGACAACAGGCTTGAAAAGTACAAGTAAATCAGCATCAAAGATAGAAGGATGGTTTTCAAACCATGAACATTTAATCATTATCACAAAAATAATATTTTTTATATATTTATTATCAGAAATGCATTTTTTATGATGCAAAAAATGCACTTTTAAATATATTAAGATATCACCTGCAATTCTTCAGACAAAATGATAATACACTTTTTTCAGTAGATTAACTCCACTAAAAAGTTTAATATTATAATGCCACCAATATTGTCAAGAAAGCCTGACCATAAACTTACAGTAAAGCTGGAGTGGCCAGTAACAGTTATGATTGTGACAAACAAGAGCTGTCACAGGAGACAGCGAAGCTCGACTAATAAAATATTGGACACAGTAAGGAAGACAAAACTATTAAAGAAAAATCAATTATGTATAATTATGTATAAAGTTATAGTAAAAAAAAACATTTGTTAACACAAATTTTAAGTTCAAGGTGGAATAATTCTGAAAATAGTCACACTACAGTTATGAACCTTGCCACACAACATGTGTGTAATGATAAGAAATATATATTTGAAGTTTGAAGTATATACCTTAAAAGTAAAGAAGTTATAATATTTTTTTTAAAAAAATCCTAAGTTCAAAGACAGATAAATCTGAAAATATTGCATCAAGAGTTATGAGCATTGTCACATAAGATGTAATTGATGATAAGGAATAAGTATTTGAAGTTTGAGGTAGATACCTTTAAAAATAAAAAAGTTATAGTAAAAAAAAACAATTTTCAAGTAAAAAATCTAAGTTTATGGGGAGATAATTCTTGCAATATTGTTGCTAGAGTTATGAACCTTGTCACATAACATGTGGTTTCATGTGGTTAATGATAAGGTACATATAAAATGTAACAAAAAAAACCATTAAAATACGGTTACTTGAAATCCATGTGAAATTACCAGGTACTTGTGGACTGTTCCAAATTAACAGGATAAATAGGTTTTGTGCATGTATGTATAGTTTGATAAAATACATGAAATTATATGTGTCCAGAGACATAGATAATATCTCTACATATCTGATGTGTCACATAAATGGGCAGCAAGAAATATATCCCCAATATATAATCTTGGTATTTGGCAATAAAAATGGTATGCTCATATTTTAATAACACAACATATAATCTTTACAATAGTCCTGAACTGACTGGTTTACTAACTGGTGTAGTATTTTGTCATCATAGAATTTATTAATTTTGGTAACTAAATACAAGTCCAACAAATTCTAAGCTGGACTGGTCCACTATAAAAATTTAGCTTTACTGATTTCCTTATACCTGGAATATTTCTGTAACACTTTCAGACAGAAAGTTCACAGAAAGCATATGGGTACATATCACAATGATTTATATCCCTGAAGGCTTGAAGAAGACATTATCATCTGTTGGAATCTACCTGAATCACAGGGTAATCAATATTTTAATAACCTTTAATGACTCCATTCCAGGTTGAGGCAGTGTCTTGGTGCAAGTATATCAATTATTGTCAGTTTTTCACTTATGACCTTGTGCATATCTTCTTTCTTTTTTATTCTGTCCCACTTTCTTTGAAAGATAATTGTGGATTTTATTGAGCCAATTGGAAAAGACTGAATTTAATCCATATTGTGTCAGATTGTCTAGAAATAAGATAAGAAATGAGAACAATATGTCTGTCAGCATCTGTTGAACATGCAATAAATCTTGATATATTTGACATTTCAAGGGTGCATATATTATACATCACACTGAAGGTAAAAGAAAATCAAATACCACCAAGATATGAAACTACTTCATTTTTTTTTTCAAATGACAGACGACAGACTTTACAGATTAGTAAATTATCTGCAATATGTACTAGCAATGAAAATATGCACTTTTATTTTTCCGTTTTACTCAAATAATTATTATTAGGATTCTTAAGTATTATGGGGTAAGAGGAAGGGAAAGGATGGGTGGGAGGTGGGTGTCAGTGAAAGGATGGGGTTATGAGTAAGTATAGAAGAACCAATAATCTTCCTTTAGCTTGCCAGATAACACTTTTTATACAACATATTTTTAAATCAGAATGCTGGTGTCGAATTCTCAAAGTTAAGTTCATGGACTACAATTAAAAGTTGTTCCTAAATTACAACATATATACAAAGTTAATTCAGATTTAGGATTCACCCCATTTTAAGAACTTGCTACCTTAAACACAAAAACATTGATTAATTTTGTACATAATGCAAATTATGAATTTAAATCATGTCTTCCAATTACAGATCTTTTCAATATTTAATGCTCCTGTCAGAGATATGTCATACAAGCATGGAAGAAGGCAGTTTTCTTTATACATACATAAATAATCTATATCATTAATAGCAGTATGCAAATCTAATTTGTTAATTTCAAATTTTTCAATCAATAATCTCTTTAAGTTAATGCATTGAATCCTAATTTATGTGCTTTGATTATTTCAGCACAGTATCAGCACTTTAATTGCTAACTCTAATCTGATTATGGTAATGAAAACAACCCGGTGTTCAGTGATGAATGCATTCTTCATATTATTGATGAAAACCAATGGGAATATTGGAGCAAAGTCAGCAAATTCTTTTTTATTTTAAAGTTGCTGAATTATGCACTTTGTAACATTTTAAAAATGCCAAGGCAGCTTTCAGTATATAAAAAGTATGGAAATTTAACATCATTGAACAGATATATTAAAATTAAATTAGTATATAAGGAAAAAAATCAGTAGTTTTTAAACAGTTCTATTGCAGGTGCCAGGACCCTAGACAGTTTTATTTTAGATTTCAGACTCTCTTCTCAGATCCAATCAATACTTTGACTGAAGCCATTACAAGTGAATTTTTCCAAAAAAAGAAGAGAATTATCAACCAGGCAGACAAATATAATGAAAAATGTAGTACTTTACTAGCATTTAAACTTGATTTTACTAAACTAAGCACTATATAAACTTGAACAAAAATCTGAACAAAATACTGATTTTGAAACAACAGACTGGAAAAAGCCATTTTGACAATTAATTTCATTAACATTATTGTTATTGTCACGTCGCTGTTTGAGAGAATTCCCTCTCGTGACATTAACAACAAGCATATTGTTTGTCATACTTACTGTCATAGCAGGGTTTCTGAATCTTCATTGTTTGGCAAGTAATTACTATCCAGGGAATCAAAGTCATTGTCATACTCAAACTCAGTCTGCGCAATATTATTACGTTTGTACATGTACGAGTTTGTAAAAGGTTTTGCTGAATTATGTGTAGAGTCTTCTTCATTGTTTGAGTCACGGTCAACGTCCGTAATATTTCCGCACATTTCCGATAATTCCCGGGCACTGCATTGTGGGGTATCTACTGGAATGGTATTATTAAATCGGGAATAGTCTATCTGGTATTGTCCGTTTTCTTTTTGGAATGTCACAAGGCGCTCAAACCTGTGACCCCAGAGTATTTCACCCGGAAGGTATGAGCTTCTTGCCTGAGTTGTCATACCCGTTGACTCGACAATACCCTCAAGAATGACAATAAATTCAAACTGCTCTTTGTGCAAATCTTCTGGGGACATTTCCCAAAATGGAGAGCTTTCCGTTATTTTATGAACTATTATCACAGGCCAGACTAAAAATAACCTATCTTGACCTTCATTAAATCCCAAGTCTACATCAAACTGATACAATGGTAACACTTCCCCTTCTTTCGTTATTTTTTTCTTAATCACTACGCCTCGTATATGAGCTTCTACGATATGCGATTTTCTCATGTCACCAACACGGAACAATAAACACATTTCACCATCTTGTTTGCATATACAAGCATTCTTGCTAAACATTAGTGTTTCTGCACGCTTTTTTGGCCTTGAAAGTTTTGCAAAAACAATCCCTGTCATCATGGCCTGACATATCACACCAAAACATGACTGTAACATCATTAAAATAATTGCTTCAGTGCATTCCTCTGTGGTATGTCTAGAACCGTAACCTATTGTATGTTGCGTTTCTATGGAAAATAAAATAGCAGAAACAAAAGACTTAATTTCAACAACACAAGGTTTCCAATCTTTATCGGCTAGATTTTCCTCGTCTAAATCACCATGAGAAAAACATATGAGCCACCATATAAGTGCAAAAATAAGCCAACTGAATGTAAATGCTAAAGTAAAAACTAACAAATTGTATCTCCATTGAATATCAACTAATGTGGTAAAAATGTCTGCAAGATAACGTCTCCTTCTTTTCCGAATATTTGCTTGTGTAATGTTTACTTCACCATTTTTATAAACTAAACGCCTTCTCATACGCTTTGAATAATGTCTGTCTGCTCTCCTTGATACTAAACTACTTTTACTAACAGGTGGATTACTTTTAGCAACAAATTCTGCAAACGACTCCTGTGACCTCCTTTCTGGTTCTGTGTTGTATTTCTGGTGCCCACTTTCAAGTAAGTCTGGTTCCCCACTGGCAATGCCATTAGGGGGACCAGTTGTAGGATATCCATAACCTGTTTCCATAACAACCATTTGAAATAGCCGCCAAATCAGGCCAAGCGCATGTTCTATGCCGGTTTCCTTGAGATCTCTGTATGCGACTGGATCCACTTTTGTTTCAATACAAGTCTTGTTCTTGGTGAAAGGTAAATTGGATGATCATCTTGACATTCTGTCTGAAAATATATACAAATATTTCAATAACATACTGTAATTATATAAATGATGAAGTGCAATACAAAATTATCACCTCAACAGATCATACATGTAAAGATGTATTTAGAAAAGTTTATGTTGACCCGTTTTTCAAGAAAACATGTTTTGATTCAGACTAACAACATTTCTTTTAAAGAACACATTTTGTGAGGTTCTGTAATATATGGACTGAATTAATGTAACATGGATGTAGCTTTGTGATCACGGTGACTGATATAAGAGCTGATTTAACAAGAGCTGTCCATAAGACAGTGCACACAACTCTCACATTGCTTGACTGTCAATGAAAGTAAGAAAAGTGGCATAACTCTTGAAAAAAGGTTACTAAAAAGGTAGTTATGGAACCTATGCCCATCATTTTAGATTATCACATAGTACAAGTGTGTAAAGTATCAATCCATTCTTTTCAGAAGTTTAAGAGTACCAACTTGCTTGCAAAAACTTTACCAAAGTGTGTCTGTGATGCCAACGCCAGGATGAGTACAATAGCTCTACCTATTCCTTGAAAAGTCAAGCTAAAATCAATCTATATTAATAGTTATGGAGATGAATACAAGCATTTATTTTGAATAAGAAACATAAAGAACATGCTTTAAAACATTAAAGAATAAAATTACACAGACAAGACACTTAGAATATTGACTTGTTTGTTTCTTTTGAGAAATAAAACAACAATTAATGGCTTACAATACAATAAGGTTAATATGCAATTTTCAAACTGACAAAGAAAATTTTTCACATGCCCATTAGAACAGTAGCAGTACTATAATTGCAATATGTCAATATTTCTTAATTTACCACAGTTCCTGCTGCATACAGATTAACTGACAAAACTGTCTGATGGGGTTTGAAAAAAAAAATGTTATATCTATTATAGCATATCGTTTTGATATTTCACACTTCTTTAAAAGACATCCCTTTCACACTTTAATTAATTAACTTTCACAAACAATGCATGTTTACTGGCGGTTCGGGATTGACACTGAAGTCTTCATCAAGATCGCAATTAGCAAGCGAAGAGAAACTATAAAGCACAGCATAAAACCGGTTTTTTCCTCAAAGGAAGAATTCATTTCATGTGCAAACATTTCCATGCAAGCATTCCTTGGATGTTGATGAAGCAACAATCTATATTTTTTGCTTGGAACAAGAGGTATTGAGCCAAGAAAATAATAGAATAATAACAAGAAACAATTTCCAGCAATATTTACAATAGAACCAAAGTAATTGTTTCATTTGTAACAAAGCGCAAAATCAATAATATTTCTGACCGCAAATCTATTAAATTGGCAAGAAATAAAAACAATCTATGTGTATATCATAGATCTACCCCACTTTAACCATGGTATTTAACAATAATTATGAATGACATCAATCCATGCTTAATTAACAAATAAGTTACAGGTATAAATAATTACCTATAAAACGATACAAATAGAAATAAATAGTAATAGAATCATTTAACACATTCACTTACACTTATCACATTCACATAATATACATTTAATGTATAATATCCATCCCTCAGAATATAATGCAATTTCTTTTATTAGTATATTACTGAACTTTTTATCAATTCTTTGCAATAAGTAGGTAATATAATCAACACAATAGTTAACAAGTATGCTGAATAAATTGTAACTAATATAAAGTCTGTCAACCACATTGAACTTAAAGGTCTGTTATTATAATAAAATGTCAAATATATACAGCTAATATTACATTTAATAGTTTGGATGGAAGTTGTGTAGAAGAAGGTTAAAAAAAGGTTACCTCAATTGTTACAAATATACCCATCCAACGTCATTGATTAACAGTACAATGACACTGGTTTGAATCAAAGGTGGTTTACCTGCTTCACAAACGCCAAACCTGACATTACTGATATATTGTTATATATAACCTTTCAGCATTTGTGTAACATATTTCTTTTGTATTTAGATATGTCATTTGCAAATGTAGGAGTCCATAACAAAAATGATACAATTAAAAGACAACAAGGATGTGCAAGTTTCAGCACCCATTTACTATACATGTATTTTAAAAGTAAATGGGTGCTGCATAGTAATTTTGTTCTTGATGATCAAGGGAAGATTTTTTTTACGATAATCTGACCATTATTGGCAAGAAAAATGTGGCAAATGCCTGTTGTCTTACACAATATAAATTTGCTGTCTGACAGGAATGAATAGCAAGGAAATATCATCTTATAATAACAATACTTGATATTTTCCTACTTGCTTTAAAGTCAATCCTTAACTTAAATGAATTTCAACACATGGTTATCTTAATGTAAGATTTTTTTTGCACATTTTTTCAAGAAATTCAGGAAATGAATATTATATGAACGGACCAATTAACCTGCCTGGAATCCATTTAGAATCCTCTCTTAATTCCTGATAATGAACCCATTTATAGAATGTTATAGTGACATGATCTAAATATAGTGTCAATATTCTATAAATGTAAAACATCCAATTAAGAAACAAACTGTTTGCTTTAATGAACTTATTTTAACACTGACAGAGCTTTGTTGCTTTTTTAGAGAATATCTGATGTTGTTACTTCAATGTAATTAATGTGTGATGTATCAAGTAAAAAGACGGCAGTTGTTGGACGTCATCATGAAACAATTTAAAGTGTCAGAAAACCACCAACACAATTATATAAAGTTATATAGAATGGTGAGAATTCATATCAGTTTTTTTGTACATAGGTAAATATGAACAAAGGTAAGATGAGTCACATGATTATGAACAAAGGTAAGATGAGTCACATGATTATGTACATAGGTAAGACAAACAAAATGTTTAGATTAATATTTTTGTGTATCATTACATTTGGATCACTTTTTTCTTATATGTCACTTTCTCCACTGATGTCATTTGACAAACATATTTTCCTGAAAGCTATCTATAGATAAAATGTCAGCCTCATATGCATATTTCCATGAAAGAGAGTAATTAATACAACATAGTAACTATTAATGAAGCCTTTGTTATTAAATTGTCATACGCTATATTGATTATTCATATGATACTGTTGAAATTAATAAAACAAAATGCTGTGTCTGTTTTCAGAATATCTAAGCTGCACTGTACATGTATCTATATATTTGTGGATAAACTATCCAAATTTCTTTAAGAACTGAAGAAATCTTTACTAGAATTACACTCAGTTCTCCCATATATAAAGTTTTAAAAAATGTACTCTAAGACTGCAGACTTTGGGTAGACTAGTGTACTGCAGTTTTTGAGTAAATTTCTCTAAATGGGTAAACTGCAGACTTTGGGTAGACTAGTTTACTGCAGTTTTTGAGTAGATTTCTCTAAATGGGTAAACTGCAGACTTTGGGTAGACTAGTTTACTGCAGTTTTTGAGTAGATTTCTCTAAATGGGTAAACTGCAGACTTTGGGTAGACTAGTGTACTGCAGTTTTTGGTTAGATTTCTTTAAATGGGTAGACTGAACTAAGTTAGTAGAATGCAGTCTTATTTGTGCTCTGTCTGTACATATTGTCTTTGTATATGATGATATACATGATAAAATAACACATCTTATTTATTAATTATAAATCAGCTATACTTAATATAAAATCAACGCCTTTATAATTGTAAAATCGTCAACGATTGTGATGTAAAGAGCAGGCTTCAAATAAAGTTTACATACAATTTTCAAAACAAAACAAAAATTCAGGGGTTCACTTTAAAAAACAATGTTATTTATTAATTATATATCAGTATACTTAATATAAAAATCAACCCTTTATAATTGTATGGATAAATATCTGACAGGACTGAACTGGACTTGTCCGTCTTTCAATATGGACTAAACAGTTTATTGTTTTAAGATGAAATTTCAAGATATGTACATACTGTCAATTAAGCAAATAGTGCTGATCCTGATCAGTTGGCATGGATGTGCCAGTTGATCTTGGTTTGCATTGCTTGAATGGACAGATTCTGTTGCTGCTCGCAGTCTCAGTAAGGAATAAAGAAAGAAGTGAAAATTTAAGAGTAGTTTTTAGCCATTTATTGCCCATACTCTCCAAAGATTTTACAGCGTTTTCATTGGTCATGGTTTGGTATAAGTAGCTAGCAGTAAATACTGTGGTGGCCAGCTACTGTGCCAACTTAACTGTGGCTTATAAAGAGCACTGAAGGTTTAATAACCTTCCTAGTACAAGATATAAACAGCTATAAAATGTTGTTGTTTTCTCCAGTCTTATAGTCTGTAGTTTCCATTCAGACTTAATCTGATTGCTTCTTGTAATACTTTAAAAGCCACCAAAATCCTGATTATTCCAGTTTATCATTCCAGGAGTAATGTTGTTACCATACATTATAGAAGATTTAATATTACTTCCTCATGATAGGAGATATTGCTTCCTCATAGGCAAAACATTATTTCCCTCATACCATTATTGCTTTTATTTGTATTAGAATTTTAAAAACTAAAATTGTGCAGTGTTTTACCTTTATTCATATATTTATATTCCTTTTTGCCAACCCTTTCAATTTCAGATAAAGGTTTTTCTTCTATGCTTCATCACTGAAAATAGATAGCAAAATAAATATAAACATATGTGATAATTTTATATACTAGATATAGAATTGAAAGTAAAAACTCATAAATCCTCATACAGACACAGAAATATACGTACTGTCAAACAAAGTTATATAATCCAGAAATTATTTTTGTAACATCTAATATTAATTTTTTTCTCTATTAAAAAACAAACTGACATTTTTCTTTTTCTCTAAAATCCAATTTGTGGTAAGTATAAAACCTGCTTTAGAAGTAAATGTCAAGATGGGGAATAGGAAATAAAAGATCATTTAAACAGAACATTTATTACAAGCCATTTTGTTGCTATGTCTAGCTTTAAATTGGAGACATATAGTGAATGTTATAACTGACTGATACATGTGTCTAGTCCCTGGAAGCTATATAATCAAATTTACATTCAGTTTGTATCTTGAGTAGGCTTTTTATCACCCTTGATTTGAACAACATTTTATTTCCAATCATCAGTTGCAATGTACAGTTGTTAAGTTTGTGCCACAATGCCACATGAAGTGGAGAATACATTTACTAAAAGCAGACTGCTTTCTAACATAATTTTTTATATACAAAAAAATGAATAAATAAAACTTTATATATTCAATGTTGAACAGCTTGCAGTATGATGTTATATTTATTTATAGGTCATCTGACAAGTCACTACTGGTTTATAAAGAAAGATTTTACTATTTTTATTATAATATGTATAACGTTGATATGCTCTGTTTTGATTTTGGAATATAGTCCAATGGTAATATAATTGATTTAAATGTCTAAAACTAAAAAGCTATAAAACTAAATTAATTAAAAGCACTGAGCTGCAGATTAAATAGATGTGTTAGCTGCTGTGATTGGTGCTATATGGCAAGATATATGTAATATCACTGGTAAATGCAAGATCACTGCTTTCTTTACAATGTTGATTAACATTTAATGATACATATACATAATATTACACAGAATCTTTGTCAACCAAACATCAGCTCCCTTAACAAATACAAAATCTATTATTATTTTAAATGATCTAAATCTTATAATGCAAGAAAAGCTTATTCTATAACTGCCACATATATTTAGCATCAGTACAAGTCCTTAGAGAATATATTTATTTTATACCGAACTGACACAGATATATTCTACCTGGTGTAATTCATCCACGATAATAGAAATTCACAAAGTTACCATTAATATTGCTATTTAATAACCATGGACTCTTCATGTCAACAAAAAATGGTATTATTCTATGGAAGTTATATTTGACTAGCAGATACAAATTATGTGATACTCAGAATAATTTCCCCTACAGGCCTCTTGATTTACAAAACAAACAGTATTTGGTTGTATTTGCCAATTTTACTCTTTCCAGTGTTGCTAAATAAGGAAAAGCTGTACAAAAATATTAGTTATTTATTTCTGATAGAGATTAAAAATGTCTGTTGTTGCAGCAGACAATATAAGATTATGTCTGTAGTGGTAGTAATATAGACATAATGTTTTATTTATTCTGCCAGACTGATGCAGTCATTTTTGTCCATGGCAACAGTTTTGCAGTCTTCTGACACCCAAATATAACAATATTAGACCTTATCATCTTAAGCTTATCACATATGTTGAGGAAGATAGAAAAATAAAAAAAAAACATAATCTTTACACAGTTAAAATATAAAAACAGGATTGCCTGTGCATTTATGATTTAAAAGAACAGTTAATTGTTTAAAAAATACGTAAGGAGATATCATCATCAAATGTCTTAGCCTGCAGACTTCTAATTGCTCTTGTTATTTTATTATGTTGCAATGTGACCTTCAATATGATAAAACTGTTTCAATAAAACTGAATTAATATAAGACAAATGTTATTTAAAATTAATTTTCTGACATTAGATAAATGGAAGACAAATTTATTACTACTGACTTGATAACACCCATTAACTTAATTGCAGACTATTATTCAAGTTTTTTAGCTTTCAGTGGGCACCTGAGGTCTTCCTTCAACTATAAAGCTGGTGATGCCGAATCAACAAAAAAATACTGATAAATTAATTTGTCTTACTTGCATTATTACCATTCATTGATTTATGAAAATTAAACTGACTTATATAAATGACACATTTCATTTTTTATGCAACACAATAAGTACAGCAGACTTTTTAATTCACTTATCCTTTACAATTAATACTTTATTCACCTGAACTAAATTTCAATCTGAAATTGTTAAAAAAAAATAATTTAATTTTCTTAAAGAAAAAGTCGTCTCTTACAAGGTTGATTGTCCAAAACCTAAACAAATATAATTTTGACCAGAAAATCATAAGTCTTCAGATGAAGTATTGATGTTGCTTAGGACAAATGAGCCGTGCAATGACAAAACCAACATTATGGGTTTGCGATCAGCATGGATCGAGACCAGCCTGCGCATCCGCACAGTCTGATCAGGATCCATGCTGTTCCCTTACCAACCCTATTACAAGTAGAGAAACTGATAGCAAACAGCATGGATCCTGATCAGACTGCGCGGATGCGGATCCATGCTGATCGCAAACCCATTATGTTGGTTTTGTCATGACGCGGCTCAAATGTTATATGCATCCTTCATAGCTCATCATTATAGACATGCAAATCTAGTCAGTAAAAAAGGAGACAAAACATGTGGCTACTTCTTGAGCATGTAAATGAGACAGATTGTTTATTATTTTCATATTTCATTATCATCAAATGTTCTCAATGATGGTAAAAATAAGCACTGAATTTCTAGGGTTAACAACCAGATTAAAACCATGTCCCCAGTGGGGAATAAAGTATTTACTAAGCTCCACTGAGTCTTTTATAAGACATACACTATTGGCATATATCTTAGAATTATATAAGTCTGCATGCTATAATATTCAGACAGTAAATAAGGTAGCATGTGGTCAGAAAAAATGTTAAGGTATTAACTCCATTATTAATGTAACAAAGACTGCCACATGACCTTGACTATTCTTAAGACATGATTATAAGGTCTTAAAAAAACTCTTTGTCAAAAGGGGGCATAATTATGATAAAATTCACAATAAAGATATATAACTCTTGTCAAAAATAGCAAATAAGATCACAAATAAGTTTTCAAAGCAAAATCTCAAATATTAGGTATAGTGAAAAAGTGAAGTGAAAAAGTGAGGTGGTACAAAATAAAATTATCAGAAGGCCAACATGTCAAAATCTTATAATGACAGTTACTTATACCCTTACAACTGGAAGTAGAGTGATCATTAACATATTTATAAAGCTTCAAATGCAAGACCTTAAAAGGTACATTTAAAATGTGGGGTAGTACAAAAATTAACAAAAGGTGTAAAGCTGATGCCATGGCTAAATAATAATGCCCAGGCATGTAAAATAGTTCTCCTTATTATATGAATATAAAAGTCAAGCTTATACAACCATGAACAACTTCTACTGGAAAATTCAATTGAAGAAATTTGCTATAGATGCAAAGTAACATAACAATTCTCAGGCACTGTGTCTAAATGACTGACAGAAAGTGAGAAGTAACGTACAGCTGTAGTGTGTAGGCTAGATATATGTTCTCAACATATTGATGGATGGAAAACCTTAAAGCAACATAAACCACTCAAATCTGTCAAATCCCAGGAGTAAAGGTGACCAATACTAAACTGATTACATTTCCACATGGCTCACATTCAAAGTTCAAAGTCTCCAGTTTCCTATGCTACACTGGCATAAATGAATTGCAAAATGATGGAATACTAAGTTACCATGTAATATAACAACAGATTGAGACGAAATTGATTCTATATTTAGATGAAATCAGATTGCTCCCTTAGAATGAAAGATGGCACAGCTGCAAAAAAAAAACCCTGTCAGATTTGAACAGTCACGTTTATACACCTCCATATATTTCTGCCTATATCGTCACCTTGGAGCAAAAAGTCATGTAACTGACATTTTTTTAAGAAAATCACTTTTTGTCATTATTTGGTTAGAAATACAAAGTTTCACCAGTCTCTGAAGTTTAGAAGCTGAATTTTGATAAAAAATTATATTGACACTCTTTTTAGCCAATGAGAACATATAAGTTACAAATTAATTAATTGAATGTTGTAATCATATGTTGATTTTTTTTCCAATTAACAAAAAAAACAACAGAAGTTGAATATTTAAGCTAGGCTTATACAATGAATGTATTCAAATTCTGAGATTAATTATGTCATTTTTAAAATGATTTACTTTACCCTAATGCAGCATGTAATTTTCTTTGTTTTTGTGCAACTTTTCTAAAAGATGGCTTGATAAAAATAACTGTGTATTTCTAATAAAAGAACAAAAAAATTAACCAACTTGGTAGTTACCAAGGAGTTTTTGAAGTACTTCATTTATACCGCACTTGTAAGAAACATTAAGCTTCAACATTTAAAGACAAGCTTTTAAACTCACATTAAAATATTAACCAATACATTATTGTTTATTACACAAGTGTCAGTAATTATGGCAGAATCTTGTACATTATAGCAATTGCTTCATTTATATATAGTTATTCAAATATTGATATTTCTGTTATAACAAAGTTGCCATCCAAGTGTTAAGTTATAAAAAAAAATATATTGATATTTAACTCAAAGGTGCTGAATGTTTTACATTGACTTGTCCATCTTCCACTTTTGGAACTGTATTTAAAGTTGATCAGCCAACATTATAATAGAGCCTGATCAGACTGCCAAGATGTGCATTCTATACTAAGGCACTTTTAGTTATAAATAAACTTGCAACTAGGGTTAATTACTTGATTTCTTTGATTTTGGTAAATAGATGAACAGTAAAATTATATTCCATTTACGACAATTTCTTTTTTCTTAACCAAGTTCTTAAATCAAATTTACATTTTTAAGTCAGTATAAGATAGATAATATCAAGATAACATCTTCTTTGTTAAATTATTGTCAAAATCTTAATATCCACTACCAATTATTAATTAACACAATTACACAA